GGCTGTTTGAAGCAACCGTCGAAGATATTGTTTCTGTGTATCTCAGATGTGAGCCAAGTGAGGATCTCTACCTGGTTTGGGTGCAAATTAAACCACCAGAAGACCGCAGGTTAAATCGTCCTTGGTTCCATTTACCAGGGATTTGTTGAGTTTGGGGGTACCCCATTGTTGACAACCACAGAAATTCGGGGGTTCGATGTAAAGAATGACCACAAACAGTGGGCTTAGGGGTTTGGACTTTAGTGGTAAATAAACAAAGTGTGGGTGCTTGTTTTAGGCCAATCCATTTGGTCGGAAGTGAGTCCATGTGCGTGTTTTCTCAAAATTGGGGACCCTTCAGGTGGTTTTCTTGTGAAACCCGTCCAAAGAGAAGCGGGACCCCTTTGAGACACACCCATTCGAGTGTCACTTTTTTTTGGGGGTCGGAGGTGATTTTTTCTCCAGATTTCTATTTACCCCACAAAGCGAGCGACTTGCGGATCCGAGACCACCTCAAGTCCGGCCGGGCACCTTACCTCCGGGCAACCGAGGTTTGCGTGGGAACTCTGGGCTGGTGGAGCATCGGCTGGGCCATCGCCTACGGGGCGCAGAACGGGAACGGCTTCATCGGCACCACGGGGTGGTTCGGCGTGGACTTCTACACCCAGGCCCTTTGCGACGGGCCGTTTGGGGCGTTTCTGGGGAATCGGAAGCTCAAAGAAGCTGAGAACGGGCCCATGGTTCTATTGCTAGTGAATGGGCCATTTTTCGTAGGTTCCATTCCCTGGTGAGAATAGTGAAGCTTGTGTTTCTTTTCTCCTTTTTGGGCGGGGGTCTAGAGGGTAATATTGAGTGGGTCACTTGAGAGTTGCCAGGCCCTCCGGGTCTGGGCTTCGGGTGTCGCTCGTTCTTGTTCGGCATCAGGGTCTGGGAACCCAAAGTTGGACGCGGACCCCCAAAAGAGGCCTGGTAGAGGTTGGTCTTAAATTGCACGCCAGCGCGCAAATTATTTCCGCCCCCGTTTTGCCTTCCCTCGTGTTTTTTTTTTTTTTTTGTTTGAGGCTTCCCTTCGCCAAGAGAAGCTTTTTGTTTGTTTTCATGGGGTCCTCGGAGTTTATCTCTGGTCAAACAAGCTTGCCTTAAGGATCACCCGTGAGACAACATGGGGGTACCACTAGGCCTTAGGAAGCTCTGGCAAGGGACTCGTCAGTGGCTTAGGAGTGAAAGCCTTGCAGTGTCTTCGCACTTGGGCCTGCATTTTGTTGGACACCACATGTTTGTTTCTTCTTCTTTTCGCAAGCATGCCCGTTGTTTTTTGACAAGGAATCAGACAGAAGAAAAACTTTCTTTTTGTGGTTCCCTGCTTTGAGAAGCTTCCAAATGGACAACCTGGGTCCTCCCCAATCTGCGATCCTTGCCTCGGCAGCAGACGTCAAATGCGCACTTTGTTTGTTTTCCCGAGGGTCTGTGTTACTCACATGGGGCTATGGTTCATGACCAGATGTGTCCTTTCAGGTCAGTTAGGTGAAAAGTAGATGGCGCTGGTTTCAGTTTGCTTCCAATGGTTGTACGGTGGCATCTATTTGCCATTGAGGACACCTGGGCTCAAAAACCTGCCCCCACCCTTGCCCCTACCCCCAAGCAGCTTCGACCTCGCATTCTCTTTTCGGACAGGACGCGACCACCGGGGTGATTACGCCTGTCACTTGCAACGGCGATGGCTGCCAAAGCACCATGCTGAGCTGGCGACTTGGTGCCGGACCTGGCGTGCTTTTTACTTTGTGGTTCTTATTTTTTGTGTGGTTCCTTCATTTTTTTTCCAAACCTCGCTTTCCTTCATACTTTTCTCGTTTCCCTTCATCTTCATCTTGCAATGATTCTCCTTCGTCTCCCTTCATGTTCCTTCATGTTCCTTCATGTCTTCCTTGAACATCCCGAATCTTCCATTGTTTTCCAGCATCTCCCATCATGTTTTTCTTCCATGTGTGGAATTTTCGTTTATTCACCGTTCCTCGGTTTTCAGCGTTTCCCACTCCCCGCTCCAGCGAGACGCGCGGCCGGCCGCTTGGAAGCCGAGGTTCTTCCAGTGGGCCTTCTGCACCGCCGGCGCCACCATCGTGAGCGGAGGCGCGGGGACGCGGGGATGCCTTCGGCACACCTCCCGGGGATTTTTTTTTTTCGCGGCGAGGGCTCCTTGGGGTTCTTTGGAGAAGGGACACGGCCAAAAATTGGGGCACGGAAAGGCGGTTTTCATGGCCACCCTAGAAATCATGGCCATGTGGCTGTGGTGGTCAGAAATAATTCGGGTAACCCCAAAATGGGTTGCGCTGGTGAAAATGCACACATGGACTAAAGTTTATTCGCGCCCTGGTGGTTCAGTTTTGACTCATGCCCACATGGGTGGTTTCTGAAAAGGATGAGGGGTGAGGGAATGGAAACAGGGGAAGGTTGGCATTTGAGAAGGTACAAGAAGAGCACTCTTTGAGGGGCCCCGAGCCCTCTCAAGTCACGATTCAAACCGGGTGAACCAAATCCCCAACACACCAATGAGTTTGGAGACGTGCCGCAGACTCGTGTTGGCCCCGGAATGAGTCTCAACAAATCTTAGCAAAAGAAAACCAAGCACCTGCAGGGCTTCCTTACTTTGAAAAACATGCCCAAGTCGACCCCCAAGCAAGTCACCCGAGCCGAATCCACTGGGAACAAAGTTTCAATTCTTTAATGGGTAGTGGCATAAAACAAGAAAGAGAAGACAAGTAAGCAGAGCAACACAAATAAGAAGAAGAAGAAGAAGAAGAAGAAGAGGAAGAAGAGGAAGAAGAAGGAAGAAGGAAGAAAAGGGGAGCTGATCAATCCAGGGCCAACATTTCCGATGGAGTCCAGACTCGGTTGCGTGGCAAAAGCAGAGAGTGAGTACTACTGTGGGTGGACGAAATCCATTTCGCACCATCTAAGGAACCCTGGTATGATGATTCACCTGTAAATACCCACAAACAACGGCTTCAACCATGGTTTCAAAGTGGTGCGAACGGATTTCGTCCATCCACAGTATGTTAATTGCATCACCAACCAACATGAGAAATTTTTGCATATTTGGTTTGGTTGCTACAAACCGCCGGGAAGCATTTGCAAGCGTCCAAATGGCAATGCCCCTTTATCCGGAGACAAAGGAAAGACCTTTCTGACACGTCCAGTCAACATTCAGAAAGTGGCAAAGACTATTGTCGCACATGCAAACAAAAACATAAAACAATGCAACCCAGGGAGGACTCCATGATTTGCGAGAGGCAACGGTATGCCCATTAGGCTACTGGGTCAGATGCCGCATGGGTGCGGCAACAACATACGGTCTGGCCACCAACCCAACATGCCAACCAGCTGCGGCGAAAGAACAATGCCAAGGCCTTCAAGCCAACATCAGACACACCCACCTATGATCGCTGTGGTTCTTCTTCTTTCTTTCTATCACCAGTCTAGGAAACGGCAAAGAGGCAGGGTGCCATGGGCAAACGCACCCCTCAACTGAGTGCAGCGCGGCTTTTTTGGAGTCCCCTGTCTGTTGCCGGATTTACTTCCGCCAACGCCATGTTTCGATGTGTGCGTAATTGAAGGGAAGGACCCCTTCTGATCCCCAGATTGCGCCAGATTCAGACCCCGTCAGAGGTCATGGGCTTGTCGCAAAATAGGATTACCACAAAGATGGGTTGTTTTTCCTTTGGTGACCGGCCAAGCCCCCCAAAAATGGGCGCCTCAAAAAGCACCACCAAAGCCACACATGGCTCCTCAAAATCTGCATGCCCAGAGAAGCCCAAACGCCGGCCATCGCATTGGGAGGCGTGGCGGAGCGGGTGAAGAGCCCCACCTATGCGGCTCTTCGCAAACCGTTGACCCCGGGGAAAAGCCCCGGGGTCACTCCACTGGGGTCTCCTCCAAAAAGTTTTTTTTTTTTTTTGTTGTGCGTTTTTCCGGGCTTTTTTTCGGATAGAGGGCAACAAGACTTCGCAAGTGGTAAAAAATCTCAGATCCTCGTATTTTTTTTCTTTCTCAGTTGTTTTTCTTTTTCCGGGAATTCCGAGTCGCCGCAGTTTCCGAAGCATGCCGGGTTTCCTTCATGTGAGACCCGCCGAAAGATCAGACCGAAGCGGCGACAAAAGATTGGAGACCCAAAGGCAACAAACTGCAGAGCAACCTGCTTCCGTCTTTGAGTGCACCCCCAGGCTGATTTGCTATCGGGGTAGGATCGGGGTGGTTGATCCGGATGTTTAAAGAAAAGCCGGTTTCAGCCTGGGGAAATGGCCGTGGGTCAAAACCAATGGTACCATTTTGGGGTTTTCGGTGCACCACCCATGTTAGTCTATTTTACTGGGGATTGGGATGTTCACTGGGGCTACGATTTGGGTTTTGACCCATGGCCAAATGACGGTGAAGAGATCGAACCCGTGTGAAAATACATCTCCGAGGCTCTCTACGCCTTCTTCATGGCCGGCTTCATCTACCCCGTGGTGGTGGCATGGACTTGGGGCGGGGGCTGGATTGCGCCGCCCGCCTGCATTGCGGCTCAAAGAGCTCGGGTGGGGGCCCATCCCCACCCCACCCCACGCAACGCAACACCACACATCACAACACAACACAGCAGACACGCATACACCCACCCCACGGTTGGGCTTGGCTGACGCGTTCTCCCACCAGTCAACAACTCACTTGCCCATCCCCCAACCTTTCGACTTTTGCTTTCCCCCTTTGTTTGGTTTTTTTCCGATTCCCCCACCTTTCGACCTTTTTTTTCCAAGCTTTTGTTTGTTTTTTGTTCAAGCCTTCTTTCCAGGGCTCCGGGTGAGGGCCAACCACAAATCGGCGAAGTCCACCGCGTGGGCCGCGCCGCGACGCCACGCCGCGACGCCGCTCTCGCGCCAAGGAACGTGCTGGACGTGGGCTACATGGACTTCGCGGGCAGCGGCGTGGTGCATCTCACCGGGGGCGTCAGCGCGCTGATGGGCACCATCGTGCTTGGGCCCCGCAAGGCGCCTGGGGGGCAGTGAGCGCACGGGAGGGGGAAGGGCTGTGAGTGTTTTGTCAGTGGAGTTTTTCTTGGCTTTCTTTAGCTTGTTAAGCCTTTGGAGGGGCATTCCATTCAACTGAAAGTTAAGCTTTTAGCAGTGGATCTGAGGATAGACGACCGTTGTGGAGGGCCTTAGACAAACATGGTATAGAAACTCTTGGTCGTGCACCTCTACAAAAATGATCACCCCAACAAAAGTCATCACTTGACGCTGCGAAGGAAAGGACAAATGAAGCACACCCAAGGGTGAAAGGTCAACCCCCCTGAAAGAGCAGGATGGAAATGCCCACCGCACCTTGTTTCCTTGTTTTGATGGGGGGCCTGGCTGTGATCAATGTGATTGCGATGGGAGATCCCTTGTGGATTTGGCTCGCATTGTAGACGCTACCACCCATGCCATGTTTTAGTGTGTATGTGGCAATATGCCTTGTGTGCCGCTTTGGTTGGCGCTTATGCGATCCAAAGTGTGCCATGCTTTGCTCAGCGCGGATGGAGCGAACACAAATCTACCCCTACACAAATCTTTTGGTCGAGGTACATGGGAAGACCTTTCTTCACTTGGCAGAAATTGCCCAATCTCGATCCAATCGACCACCCTTATGCGTCAGCTGGCAGGATCACCAGGGAATCTTGAGCTTCCCACTGGTCTGCTGCCCCAAACAGCTACGGAAAGTCAGCCAGTGAACCACATAGGCGACTTAAGGCTCCTGCCTGCTGAAATGCGTGAGCTGGGTTCCGAGATATATGGTGGGTGCATGTTCACGCGTTTTCACATGGTTTCAGAGGCTAGAACGAGAGCCCTCTGCTCGGGCGAGAGCTACATAGCCCAAGGCCACCGTTTTCTTTTGACCGGTTTCTTGTAGGGAGAACTTGATTTCTTTCTAGGGGAGGGGGAAAGCTCTTCTGACCAGTTCTAGAAGACTTGACTGGAATCTAGTGAGCGGGGTGGAGGCAGGTTGGGTTGTTCCCCTTGGTTTTTTGTAGCGCGTAGGGGAAGTTGTGTAATAGTGCTGTTTTACGTGCCGCGCGCCAAGTTTGTGGTATGTGTTTGCTCGTCTTTGAGAATCGTGTTTTGTAGTTGGCATCTTGTTTGTTTGTTTGTTTGCTTGCTTGCTTGCTTGTTTGTTTGTTTGTTTGTTTTTTTTTTTCTTTGTATGTTGGTTTATGGGTTTTCTGTCTGTTTGTCTGCAAATTCTTCTTGGCTCGTGTTCCTTTCCTTGGTCCGCTCGTAAAGCCTCAAGCGGATCGCAGGGATAGGGATGTCTATCGCTTGCCAGTGGGCCCGGCGCTAGCCCTTTGAGGTAATGGTACATTGAGCCATGGTGACGGTGTTGAATGCGGACCCTGACCCAGTCGCTCAGAAGTCTCAAAGTCCGGCGAATGGCCATTGGCTCTTGCTTGTGCCGTGCTTGGTCGGCGTGCAGGGCGAAGCAGGCGGCCGAGCATGTTAAGGGCATGTTCAGCAAGGCCCACCGGAGTTGGTGGTGGTGACGCGTGCTATAGTCTCCTTCTTGAAGCTCAGTTCCAGGATCTTCAAGCAGTGGAGGTTCCTTGACCCAGGTTCTGCGGGAACACTATGCTGGTGGCTCACCCTTGGCCCCTGCGTCCCTCCAACAAGGCTCTCTCCCTACTTCCAGAAATTCATGCTCGAGCCTGGCGTCCACCTGTTGCACATGGATGACAGGTCCGCGTGAGTTTGACCAGGTGACCCGCGACAGTTTGACGCAAGCAGCCATTAAGGCAATGACCCCGGACTACCCAGGCAGCGAGCCCGAGGTGAGGCCGTCAAGGCCTGAGGAGGGTGCAACTGGATGACCCCTCCCAGGTGCTTTTGAGGGCCGACGCGATTGCCGGTGTTGCGTGGGTCTGCTGCCAGCTGCTGTCAGCTTTCGCGCCAATCTTGTGACTGGTCGTTCCCGCTCGGACGCTATATTGTCAAGTGTGTGCTTGCAATGCCCAGGCTGCAGCGCCGCAAGCCAGCAGCCATTAAAACAGATCTGTGCTTCGTCGTTTCGGGTGCCGATAAACAGGCCCTTGTAAGTTTTGTGTTTGGTGGCCGTCGGTGTTGGTTACAGTGCCTCCGCGAAAGGTTCGCAGACACAAGAAACTGCAACCAGTCAGCTTTCTCGGCGAACATATTTTGTACTAATTATCGCGAGCCGATTTGGGTAAGAATTATACGTCAATTTTCAATGGTCAGAGCAATCAGGCGCATTCAGGTGTCAAGGGCATGCGCGAAGGTAATAAAAAAATAAAAATAAATAATAAAAGAAAACGGGAGCTGAGCACGGTCTATTCTTTATTTCTTTAACAAGACTCCACGCACTGTTCATACGATTGTTTTTTAGCAGTCAGCACAGACGGTTTCATTTGTTCGGGTAGACTCAGTCTCCTCGCAAAGTACATATGGTTGAACGTTCAGCGCATCAGCGCACCGATTTCTTTTCTTTGGTAGACGGGCGCAAAACGTGAAAGAAGCTAGCGCGTGAGCGCGCAGAGAACTTGCGCAGAGAATTTTGAGCCGAGCACTTGCGCAGAGAAAACTTGTGCAGAGAAATTTGCGCAGAGAACTGGCTCAGAGAACTTGCTTAGAGAATGTGAGAGAAACTTGCTCAGACACATTTGCTCAGAGAAAGTTGCTCAGAAACTTGCGCAGAGAAGCTTGCTGAGCGAACTTTGCTTTCGCCCCCCCCCCCAGTTCTTCTAGCGTATGTTTGGTTGGGGGGTTCCCCTATCTTGTTACGATCCCATATGCGTGTGTATATATGCATATATGTATATATATATATATCCCAGGCGATCCCAGGCAACCCCCCACGTTAGTGTTTCTTCGCCATGTGGCTTTTTCTAAAAGGGTGGTTTCTTTGGTTGCCTACACAAAGAAATGTAATCGCTGAGTATAAAATGAGGCGTCAAATCATTGCTCGCAAGGGCCTCTTGTGACTCAATTTTACTTGAATTGTCCACACAAGCAACGCCCCGCCTCAGTCTCATGTCATGCTTAAATTTAGACAGCGAGGATGGAGTTGAACTGCGGGTAGGTTCGGAGTGTTTAAAACTTCTTTTGGTGTCGTCTGTAATAACGCAATATGGTGAGTTGGTGGTGAACACTGGCGAGAAGTTGGTGACGCTTGAGAAGTAAGCAGGTGAGAGTGTTGTGAAAATGTGGGGCTGTTGTGAAAGGAGCGCAGAGTAACAGTTTGAAAGCGGTGAGAAGATTGAGAGTCAGAAGATGGTGGGCTGGTGAAAAGTTTGCAAGTTTGTGAAACGTGTGCAAGTTGAGGAAAAAACGGGAGTCTGTGAACGTCTGCCAAATTTGCGAACAGACAACAGAAAAGATGGCGAGTTGGTGAACCTTTTGGTAAGTGGTGAAAAGATGGCGAAAAGATGACTTTGTAGAACAAAATTGGTGACAAGAAGGTGAAAAGACGGTGGGTCGCAAAAAAATGCACGTTGGTGAAAAGATGGTGAGCTGGTGGAAATCTGGCAAGTTGGTGAGACGCTTGTGAAAAGATGGCGAGTTTGTGAAATTTGGCAAGTTTGCGAAGAGATGGTGAAACGATTGTGAGTTGGTGAACAATTTGCAAGTTGGTAAAAGAAGGTGAAATGCCGCAAAGTGAGCAAGTTGGTGGACAGATTGTGAGCTGGTGAATATTTGGCAAGTTGGTGAAAAGATGGTGAACAGATCGCAAACTGCTGCAAATTTGACAAGCTTGCAACATGTTGGCGAAAGCGAAAATTTGGCCAGTTGGTGAAAAGATGTGAACAGATGGTAAACAGGTCGCGAGTTGGTGAAAAGATGGTAAGAAGATGGTGAACCGCCGAAATGTTGGCAAAAGTTGGTGAGTTGGTGAAAAGATGGTGAACAGATGGTGAACTGCCGAAAATTTGGCAAGTCGGTGAACAGTTGGCGAATTTGCTCTTCTGTTTGCAAGTTGGCAAACACATTGTGAGTTGGTGAAAAGATTGTGAACAGATGGTGAACAGATGGTGAGCTACCGAAAAATTGGCAAGTTGGTCCAATTTGGTGAATGTGCGAAACATTGGCAAGTCGGTGAACAGATTGTGAAAAGATGGTAAAAAGATGGTGGGTTGGTGAAAAGTTGGTGAAAAGATGGTGAGCTGCTGAAAATTTAGCTAGGTGGTAAAAAGTTTGTGAATTTGCGAAAAATTGAAAAGTTGGTGAGAAGATGGTGAAAAGATGGTGACAAGGTGGAACACTTCTGGGCACAGCTGGAACACTTCCAGAACACTTCTTCGGAGGACTGGAACACTTGTGGAACACTTCCAAGAGGTCAGGAATTTCACCATCTTTTCACCAACTTGCCAAATTTTCGGCAGTTCACCATTTGTTCACCATCTTTTCACCAACTCACCATCTTTTTACCAACTTGCAAGCAAAAGAGCCAATTCGCCAACTTTTCACCGACTTGCCAAATTTTCGGCAGTTCACCATCTTTTCACAATCTTTTCACCAACCCACCATCTACTTGGATGGTCGGTTGGGCTTATAAGTGCTTGTGCCAGTTGTCAAACTTACGGGCCTACTTATAACCATGGTTGCGCTACTTACGAAAGAGTACGCGCGTCGAACTTATGTTCGAGTTACATAACTTCAACCATAAGTAACACGCGTCGGTGTTATAACACAAGTTATAAGAACATATAACTCGGCGATAAGTTTAATCGTTGGGGTTACTAAGTTCGACGGTCGAACTTGCTAAGTCCAACGGTTGAACTTGCTAAGTCCAACGGTTGAACTTGCTAAGTCCAACGGTTGAACTTGCTAAGTCCAACGGTTGAACTTGCTAAGTCCAACGGTTGAACTTGCTAACTCCGACGGTTGAACTTATAAGACAAGTATCCATGTATCTGTGCGTGTCTACACGCATGCAATATATGGGCAGAGCCCGAGTCCACCAACCACTCCGGCAGCTCTTCCACGCCAAGCCCAGGAGGCCA